CAGGGAGGAGGTTCTCCCCGTTTCTTATGAGTTTTACTTCGTTATCCGGCTGGGAGAAAGTTCGGGTTTGGTTTCCCAAGAGGCGACACGCTCGATTAGTGTTTAATAAGATCGTCCTACTTCGTGAAACAGAATACTACGTTGTAAGGTAAACCAAATCTGCCGTTGCTTGTTGCATCTCTACATGTTCTGCCTGTCAAACTCTTCATACAGCCATATGCCTAATTATGATGAATCAACATTCAGCACATCGACTTGCTCATTTCCACGTTCCTTTCTTCAAAGTCCTGAAGAGCCGATCAGACGCTCCGGCCTCGTCGGTCGTTGCCTCCATGTTTTGGATTCATTCATGCTTTGTGGCTGTGTTGGCTCTCCTGTTATCTTTCTATTTAAAGCTTCTGATTGTTTTGCGTGTCATGAGTTTATATTTGGTTTTCTCTTTGATGTGTGGAGCATTAATGAACTCGCCCCAATATTGTACTTCCTTTGCAGTGAGGCTTTTTCACATTCTGTTTCATCAGCAGCTTTATGATGCTTTATTAATCTGAAACGTTGCTAACGAAGCTCCTGTTACTGGAAAATATTGAGTTTGTGTGACATGAGCTTTGTGGATCAACTTGTGGGTTTTAAACGTAATGGGGACGTTGGGTCATGTTGTGAGGGGGAGTTCTGGTTTCTACACAGTCTGGAAAAGTCCGGAATTTGGTTGTAGTTACGGGTTGGATTCAGAATGGAAGAAGAACATGGAACATTTTTCTTTTACGTCCAGATTTTAATCTTATTGTCTAAAAGTTTTTTTTTCCATCGGTCACTCCATCCAGGCAACTGTCCATCCGCTAATTAGTTTTTCACGAGAAACTCTCAACGAAACGATGGAAAGGGATTATCAATTTTAAAAACAAAAATCTGTTTTTATTCATATTTTATGAAACAAACAATGGCTTTTCTAAAATTAGTCATAGCCTTTTCAATAGATAATGGAAAAAAAAAAACGTTTTTGACATTGCAGCCGCCCACTCCTGCTTCTAATTGTTGAGCAGCTTTTTGCATGATGCCTCTGGTATTTTCACCTATTATCCGCAGTGAATAATTTCTGAATCTTAGACGTTGGAAGGCCTAAAGTTGTCATGACCCTAAAGTTTCTCTCCCTCCACAAATTCACCATCAGACTGGCCTGGTCTCTGCAAAATGTTAACATTACTTGCAGCCAGAAGAATACTTCAATAGTGAGCAGTAGATGGACTGTGTTGTTTTGGATTTTGAGCTTGGAGAAAATCTGACGCACAAGTGACATAAACAAACAGCAATGGATGATAAAGCTGCTTCTCTTGGCTCGTTAGGGGTTAATTTACGCTTCTATACATGATGTGATGGGACAATGGAGAAGACTGCTGTTACATTCAAGTTGTGTTAAAAGGATTTAGCCTATCAGCTAAGCTATTCAAGGCTAAAATAGCATCTCAATGCTAAACATGTAGCAGCACAGACACCCCCAACGCTAATGTCAGCGTCCACAGTCCACATTTTTAGAAAAGGGTTGTTTTTTTTTTTTAAAGTTCCTGAAACACTAGAAAGCTGAATGAATATAAAAGCACTTTTCTCCAATCTGATGGTTGAATAACCTCATTAACAGATTAAAAACGATAAATATCGTTGTTGTTGAGCTCATATGTCCATTTATTTATCTGGTTACCGATTTAAAATGCGATCGGTCGCAATCAAGTAGTTAATCCTGTAATTAACCCGATTTTAAACGTTTTTTTATGGAGTCCCACCTCTACTCACTACTGCTGGCTCTTCAGTTCTGTTTTCTTAAAAACAGACCCTTTGTTGTTAGAAAATCCAAAATTAAAAAGTAATGATCCAATAAATGGAAGACACTGATCGGTGCAGGGTTACTGGGCTCCCAACTGGCTTGCCCGATATTTCTAGAAGCCATGCTGGCTTTATCACTGCTGGTTGTCAGCCGGGGCGTAATGACAGGCAAACACGGCACCACAGGTGTGACATGCTAAACAGCGAGCTGCTGTGATCCTGATTGGTCTTGTTTTGCTGCTTAAGATTTCAGGGTGCTGGGAATCTGAAATATCACCTCATAACAAATATTGATGACTCTTTTTGTTAAAGGAAAAGGACTGAAGAGGAGGAGGGGGCCTTCTCTTTTACTCAGATGTTTGAGCCGAGAAATCTGGAACTGTTGCAAGAGTTTAAGGGGGGTTTGTGTGCTCTACGAAGAGAGTCTGTGATAAATACGTTTTCTTCAAGTTTTACCATAGAGAGAGAGAGTTTGCTTCAGGCTTCTACTGTAACCCTTAGAAAGGACATCATTCTAAGTGTCACATTTAGGAGAAAGGTGCTAACATGTCAATAAGCCCATTTGGCAGCCTCACAGAGGATGAAAGCACTCAGCAGATTAATTGAAAGCTGTCAAGAGGTTCACCAGGGGGACTGCTGGCCTCTCACTGCACAAATATTTTATGTTGCGATTCTGACTGTCAGCGAGCTCCTCAGCTGGAATTGCAGCAGCCTGCACCTTGCTTCTTTCATCCCAACTCTTGTTTTCTTCTTCTTCTTTTTAATGAGACAAAGGCCAGAGGAATGTGTCACGCCACTTGTGATTGTTGGGTCTAAACAAATCCGGAGCCACACACACACAAAGCCTCTTTGGTTCAGTTTGACTTCCTTTTGAGTTGAAGTGCCAGCAGACAGAAGAGATGATGATCAATAGCCAACGCTTTTTTTAAAACACTTTGTTGAACTTCTTTGGATTTTCTCCAACTAGATCTGGTTTCTGTTGTTCTTTTGACTGTTGTGGATGTTGTGTCTGAGTGAGTAATCGGGTATTTTGACAGTTTGGGTTTCTTTACTTTGGCGGTCAGTGATGGACTTGCCGCCTCTCATCCGTTTGTCCTGATGTTGCCCAGGTGCCGGCTCTTTTAGGTCAGTCTCCTCTTCCTCCATTCTAATTCTCCTACATCATCGTCTCTTCGTATTCGTTAGCTTCTGTTTCTTGTCCTCCTCTCCGTCCTTCCGTAATAATCTCTGCTCCTCCTCCTCCTTTGGCCAAGGTCCATGTTATAAATCAAAAGAAAATGAGGATGGGCCGCTGCCTCGCACTGTTAGAAAATGCATAATTACTGGAGTGAAGTTGGAAGGTGCTGGTTGTGTGTTTTCTAATGGACATGGATTGGATTCTGAAAACTGCTTTTTGTGTTGCAACCATATTTCTTTTTTATTCATTTTTTTGACAATTTAAAAGAAATTTTGACTCTAAGATTTGATTTAAAAATATCTCACCTCTTATCCTGAATCCTCTTTAATAGGCCTACAACGAGCTGTGAGTTATTGATTTCAACTAAAGCTGGGTTAACCCCTAATTAATACTAGAAATGGTCCATGAAAGACGCTGGTGATGTTTGTGAATGCACCATGTTTAAGTGCTACCACTACCAGACTCTAAGACTCAGTATCAATGAGATGTTTAACACGATGTTATGGAAACAAGGTGGACCTTGAGTCCATTTTGGAATCCATTTTCTCAGAGACGTCTAGACGTGCTCAGTTCATCAGTGGCTCAGAATGTAGCTATATTTTTGATTTAGAATGCCTTTCGGATCTTCTGTTCATAATTGGGGTGATTATACGTTTAGTCTTCTCTCTCTTGCTCCGTTCTGAATTTTTCCTCTGAATTCTGACTTTAATCAGGATTCAAATAAAACAGACAATCTTTTTTTTTCTTTCCAGTGGCCCTAATTCTCTCCGTATCTTTATATAATTTTACTAAAGGTGAAATCAGAATGGACTAAAGATAGTTCTGCCAGGTAAAAACTTTACAGGACCACAGAAAAAAAAGCCCTGTAACATTGAATGGTGTCTCTGTCTCTCCTGTTCAAAATACTATCAAGATTGGAAAATAAAAGAAATGTAAAAAAAAAAAAAAAAAAAAAAAATGCAAAAAACAAAAACCCAAATTTGGACTGTTTGTGTAAGTTTTTAGATGATAAATACTGTTGCCACTTAAAACTCAACTCCCCTGATTTGTTATTCATAATTGCAGCAGAATTAGTTGTTTTTTATTCCTGAGGTGCTCTGCAGCAGAGAGGTGTGATGTGCTCATTGTTGCCTCTTCAGTCTCAAAGTTAAATTGATATAGACTAGACAGCATTTCAAATCTCCAAGACTTTTTGAAATAGATTCTCTGCTGGATACAGAAAGTTTCTCTGCGTCAAAAACAAACTGAAGCTGAAGTCGCACACAAACAAACTCAGTCGGTGGATTACACGCTCCTGTTTACTGAAATTCATCAAAATGCATCCACATTCCTTTGTTTGTCTTTATATTTTTGAGCCCATTATATTTAGAAAAAAACTAAGTATTGCATGATGGGAAGTGAAAAGCAATGAAATGCGCCTTTCAAAAAATAAAAACTCTCTGAAAAGTGTTTTATTGAGCCCACTTTTAACACGATGCCCTACATGTCCTAAAGACATTGGGAGTTTCATTGCAGGCTAAACCTTTAGCCATATTCTCCATTGAAAATCCTTGAGAACTCATATTGGAGACCTTTTACACGTAAGCAATTCTGACACTAATCAGAACAAAAACCCATCACCTTTGCTGACATGCTCCAGCTGGGACTCGCTCAGCGGACGCTGTCACTCAGCGGTAGAGCATCGCACTTGATTAGATTCCAGATACTTAGTCTTAAATCACCCTGATTGGTAGCAAATGAAATCCTGACTGAGGCCGTCTTTGTAAATGTCTCTGAATGTTCTCAATTAAGGAAGATCATGCAAATGTCTGACAACAGACTGAGTCGTTCCAGGAGGATTGAGCAGGTTTCCAAATAAGACAGAGCCTTTAGAGAGACGCCGTGTTCTGACACATTAACTCGGCAGCTGCCCCTGTTCCAAATCACCATCAAAGATATTTGGCTGATTGGACAATTTATAGTCATTATTTACCTGCCACTTACCTTTCTTTTCTTTTTTTTCTCCTAGCAACTGCTGAGGGAGATGCAGCAGATGGCCAGTCGGCCTTTTGCCACCATCAACGTGGCTTTGGAGGCAGACGAAGAGCCACCTGACCTGATAGGAGGAAACGTCAAGGTGAGTGTAACTTTGTCTCGAGGAAACCTCAGTTCAGACCAGCAGATGTAACGTTTGGCATTGTTGAACCATCATCAGGGAAGCTCCTTCTGTCACTGTCCTACAGGAGCCTAGACGTGTAGCGGCCAGCCGCTGTTCAGAATATTGTGGTTTCTTTCTAAACTGACCTGGATAAGTCATGGTAGTTTCAATTAATTGTCACATGATTTACATCTTCTCTGATAACAGGATTTCTAAAGTTTCTAAGGTTTCTAAGTCTAAGAACCTAAATATCCTTGATGGTAGAGTTGATATTTGGTGCATTTAAAGGAGTTTATTGCATAATGACACATTTAAGTAGCTGTAACTCATGAACTAGTTCCCAATTCTAGTTATAAATACAGAAGGCATTCAGATTTTAGGCATATTTACATGTTTTATTCCACAGTGGAGAGAGAAGAGCAGGGTGTCAAACTCAATATTCATTTTGGGCCAAATCAGAAATCTGAATGTTCTTAAAGGGCCGATTATGTCAGAATGTATTGATAAAACCCATTAAATATCAATAAGTAGCTGTTTCAGCATTCAACAAGTGTTTCTTAAAATAAAATAATATTGAACATCTTTTCACTCCGGTAGTCCAGGATTTTGTTGTTTTTTGTTTTTGTGGGTTTTCCTGTAATCAAAGTCACAGATTTTGTGGTGCTAATCTAGAAATATTTGAAAGCACTTTCTACGATATTTGCACTAATGTATGATGTTAAATGTGACTTTTTATTACGGACTACAACTTGACATCAAGTAAGGCTGAGGCAGCAGTCACTTAAATCCAATGTTTTTGGAAAATTTTGAGGAAAAATTTGTGTAAAATCAGAAAAAAATGTGGGGATCTGTTGATTTTGTGTGAATTTTGTGGATTAGTGGAAAAACTGGAGGGGCTTACTGGTGTAATTTGGGGTCTAGAGGGCCACATGAAAAGCTGCGGCGGGCCAGATTTGGCCCCCGGGCCTCGAGTTTGACATGTGGTGTAGAGTATAAAGATGTTGTCTCTTTTATGTCGTCCATCTGTCCATCTGTACCTGCTTAATCCATGCAGGATCAGTTGGGGGTTGGTTCCAATCTCCAAGGTTAAAGTGTTGGAGTTCACCTTGACTGGGAGCCATTTTTACTGCTAGTGATATATACGTTCATTAGTTTTGGTTGTATTTACCCAAAATGCCCTGCTCTACAGTTCACTTCCTGCTTTTAGAGTGCTCATCAGTCTGTTTCACGTTTGAATTGGAACCACACCAGAGTTGATTTCAACCAAACAGAGCTGGGTTTTTAGGTGGACCAGCGTTGGCTTTTTTGATTGTTTGCGTTCCTGCCTCCCCAAATGAACCGGACCTTCAAGACAAACCAACCGGAGTTGGATTAAAGTAGACTAAGCAGGGCTGAGGGTATATCTAACTTTTGATGCGAGTTAAATATTAAACTGCAAAGCAAAACTGCAGTAGAAACCTTTAAAAAAAAAAAACTTTTCATTCCCAGGTGGGCATTGCCACTTGATTTGAGGTGAAAGCCGGGACAAGATCTACCAGGGGGAGCTTCTTCCCCTGCAAATCTGAACTTTAGGGGTTGATTTGATGCTAACTTTTAACTACCAGATATATGCGGTGGAGCTGAGTAAAAGTGAAGTTATTTTATTTTTTCCCATAATTTATCCTCTTTAAAGTTTGGCAGAGTTACAGGAATTGCAGCGAGGCTTTTGGTGGGCGCAGAGCCGCAGGCGAGCGTACCTGTGACTGTGCACCTAGTGATGAACGACCTCTGAATGCAGATGAAGTGTGGAATTATAGGGGCTGTTTCAGAGCGGTGGCTCGGGGCGGGGGGCCCCGGCTCTGACGGGGCCCATGCATCTCCAGGGATTTGGCTCCGGAGCACAAGGTTATTCCCAGCAAAGGTTGCGGGGGGCTCCTGGGAAGATCAGCAAGAGAGCTGCAGGCTTGAGCAGAAACGTTTTTTTTTTTTTTTAATGTCTGAACTCGTCTCTCTCCTGTAGACGTTGTGTCATCCACTCCTTTCAACTTTCTTCCTTTTTTCCCTCCCTGGCTTCTCTTCACTTCTTTTCCTACTTTCTGCTCGTACATTTTTTTGGAGTTGTTTGAATTGAGACATCCTTTCCCGTCCTGTGAGACTCATCTACCTTCTGTTTCCTGGATTCTTCTGCAACAGAATTCATAAATGACAGCTGTATCTTTGGCTGGCTGGCCCCACAGTGAAAATCACTGGATTTTTTTGACGTTTTTGGTTTGCCTCATTTTTTTTTTTTGTTTTTGTTTTTTTTTGCTGTTGCCGAGCCGCGAACGTAAAGAGAAGTAAATTGATATCATTTATTTTCCCTGAATGGATTCCCAGTTTGTACAGCAAACAGTGTTGTTTCAGTGCAGGTGAGAACCAATCCTGTTAGTCAATGAAGTACAAACAAATCTGAGATTGTTCTGAAATGTGAGTTTTCTTACTTTATCTCTGTCAGTTTCCCACCTCGGTCTTGGTTTCCATTAGTGTTGCTGCTCTTCTCTTCTCTCACAGATCTGTGTTGTTGTTGATCTCTTTAAGGCCCTGTGTGTTTTCCTCTTAGCTTTTTCCCCTCACAATTATCTTTTTACAGCTCTATATTTATTTTTCTCTACCAATTTATTTGTGGTATTTCCATTTGTTCATGATTTGTTTTTCTGCGTCCTTCAGTATGGCAAAAGTTTTCACGCAACTTGGCATCTTCCCCACATTTGGTCACATGACACCCTCAAAAATGGATGTGTTTTTGCAGCCTTTTATTTTTGGTACAGAAGGGGCTTGATGACCTTTCATGACCATCCATCGCTGCCAAAACTTTTGATGACTTATCACAGACACAAGCTTGTTCATGCATGATTTTAACTTTTTTTCTTATTTAATGGAAACACTGGAATTGCACAGTATATAGTTTTGTGAGTGTGTGTGTGTGTGTGAGTGTGTGTGTGTGTGTGTGCGTGCGTGTGTTTAATATTTGTAGAATGTCAACAAATATTTGCTCACTTTTGTAATGGAGACACAGACGTCTTCGTCTCTTTCCTGGTGTCTTCTCTCCTCTTGCCCACCATCTCTCGTGTTTCCTCTAATTTACTCTCCCTCCTGGCCCTTATCAGTTGCCTGGGCTTCCTGTTTTTTTGGCCTTATCTGCTGGTTCTCTGTATGCGAAGGGCTTTTATTTTATTTATTTATTTTATTCTTTGCAGTGTTATGAGTTTGTGTGGGTGTCGCCCTGTGCATCCATGTTTGCATTTTGTCATAAAGAGAAAAAGATGAAACTTGCTGTTAAATCCAGCCGGCCTCCTCCGTCTTTTGCATTACCTTTTCTTCTCCTGGCTCTAGACCTTTTTTTTTCTTGCCTTTCTTCCCAGCCTGCTCTCCTCCTCTCCATCAGGGCTAAAGCAGCCCAGGAGCAGAGATCCAATTTAGATCTTCCTCTTCAGCTTTCTGTGCCATCACCTGCTCAGACTGTGAGTGCGCTCTATCCTATCTCCTCCCCAACTCGGATTGAGCAGCATTGGACGCGGGTTATTCCCCTTGTTTTCATGCCTTTTTTTTTTTTCTTTTTTTTTTATCAGGATGCCACGGTAGTATATTAAGACCTGCAATCGGAATGTATAAAAAGCCGAGCACCGCACAGGGAGTTGAAAATCATTAAAGTTGTTTATGCTTTTCTGATGGAAAGTCCAAACTTGCTTCCTCAATGAGATATATACACTTGGTTTGTGCCAAATGAGGCCTGCAGCTCCAGCATCGCAAACAGATGATTACTTTTGTGACACTTTCTTCTCTGCTTTTATTCTGAGACACAGACGGGGACAAGAGGAAAGTGGGACGTGTGTGTGTGTGTGTGTGTGCGTGCGTGTGTGTGGGCAGAAAGAGGACTGTTTTTATCTGCCGTAATTGTGCTGTGCTGTCAGCACCTTCACTCACAAGGTTCTGTTGAATTGTAGCTACTTGGCTGGGTTTTCTAAAGGGCTTCATGTTTACATGCTTAAATGCCTTGAAGGCTTCCCTTATCGGGTTCTAAACCATTTCTATGCAGACTGGGGATTTTTTTTTTTCCCATGTTAGAAAATGTGTGGAAAGAGAAAATAATGTCTGAGAAAATACAGTTGGAGTCAGATGTTGGTGTACACATTGATTTCTCACAAATAGTCTATTAGAAAAGGTTGATGGAAACGTGGGACTTCAAATCGACTTCCACAATTTCGCAAAGAAGTTTTTACGATCGCTTTTGGGTTTTGTGTAAAAGAGTTGGCGGTAAATAAACCAGTAAATAAAAACATGCCTAATTTACGTCTATTTTTGTTTTTCTTTCTCTTATTGTTAAGGTAAGGTAATTTTATTTATATAGCACATCCTCAGCAATGAGGCAGTTTAAAGTGCTTTACATGCTTTACATTAGAAGGAAATACAAACAAAACAATAAATCAAAGGAAAGAGCAAAAAGAGAAAAAAAAAGTAGGCATAAACTGAATGTTTGTTCTTCATGTTTGATTCTATGAAGTAAAGCGGTGCTAAATGTTGATCTAAAGCACATTAACTAAATGTTCCTGTTCTGGTTTCTAAGTTTGTTCTAATTCCTGATCTGGGTTGCAAGATAATTATAAGTACTCTATAATTTATTAGGGATTTATTAGTTATTGGCAACGTTTTAAGATTTCGCTCAAAATTTGCGTGACAATTGGTCACTGTCTGAAGTTCAGTCAGACCAAACTTCTTTCATTTTAAGTTGGTTAAAATTACCAAAAAAACTGTCAGAGATTTATTTGTCTATACCTTCAAAATCAGACGTTTATATTTGTATTCTCAATATCTGGTAGCATCGCCTTTGAGCTGTATGACTTGTGTCACATGTTCTAGGCTTCCTCATGCTTCACATAATGGCTTGCTGGAGTTCCTCATCAGACTAGCCAGCAGCAATTAGCAAACATCTGGTGGACCTACACATCTGCTGACTTCGTTAT